CTGATAGTTTCAGCAGCATATTGCAGTTCATTCTAACTCCCGGGGCCAAATTTGGTGAAACAAGTTTTCCATGCAAGGCCTATATATAATACATATAAAAATAATAGATGTTTGTGTAATCCATTATAAATCAACCACATCACATTTTAAATCAAACAAAATAGTAGTTATTGTTTCTCTAACTAATAAACCAAAAAATACTGTTGGCCCATTAAATTAATGGTAGTTATAGAATGGAAACAAGACTTAATGGACGTTGTTGTGATAAAAGTTAAAAACAACAGCATTAGAATGAACACGACGCAGATTTACATGAACCAATTAGAGGGCATTAGGGACTGATATGAGAAGAACAAAATGTGAGAAGGCATGTGTAAAACAATTAATTGAACTAAAACAGCAGACCCCCTCCCCGCCTTCATAAACTGTCTAATATTTTATGAACCCTCCTTTTTCCTGGCTAAAAAATATGTGTCCCCCCACTGTTTCCACCTCCCAACCCCTCCTGCTAAATTATGACCAGTCCCTTAGGGGGGCCTTTAGGGCACAATGCAACTTAATCAGTTACTAGGTTAAAAGGATTTGGATCATACAAGATACCTACTGCAGTTTTTAAAAGATAAGCTTTCTAATGCAGGGGGATTTGGTAAAATAATTTTTGTATTTCATGTAGGTAGAGTCATCAAACAGAGGAGGTGGGGGTCATCAAATGAAGGGCATTTCATGTCCTATTTAAATTACCAAATTTCTAGGACGGTTAATAGAGTTGTTTGGATAGACAATGTGACTGTCTTTCTTTAAAATAGGGGTTGGGGGGGGGGGGTATTTCTCTCTAAATGAGGGACATTTATAACAAGGAAAAGGAACAATTTTCCAGGCCCCACAAAGAAATTCTAGGAATTCTTAAGATTTCCTAACTACTACCCATGCTATATTATAGTTTGTTAGCAAAATATTATGCCGTATGTATTAATTACCTTCATGTACTCATCACCACAACACTGGATCTGCGGAAAGACTTTTTCTATTTCCTTTTTTAAATGGATGTCATCCCAATCTCTTACAAAAGGAAAGCTATGAAGAACGTAACCATCACTTTCCAACATAACCCGAGATGAATGAGTCGGGACTGAGGTTTGTACTGTGTCAGGGACCAACACCAAATCTTTGTGGGCTGCTTTTGGCTTTATGTTCAATTTAGGTGTCGATCCACGCTTTCGTTTTTTCTTGTTGGCACCAAAATTTGACGTTGAAGCGCGAGTCAACGGCATTTGTGTCGAGCTTGTTGTTGGATTTGTTGAACAACTTAAAGTAGAACTTGAAGTATGGTTAGGTCGCAGATTTGCTAAGCTGGGAAAACTTCTTCGCAGTTCTTCCGTTAACGTCAAACCACTATTTCCACTTGAATTTGTCGATGACTGATTGTTTATAGGAGAAATACTGGCGCTTTCGAGCTGTTGTATCCTTTGCAGTGCGTTATTTAAGTGAAACTGAAGATCATTTGGGTTGAACATCTTCGTCTTCGAGAAATCGTGGAAAATGGCGGTCATCCGTTGCTGTTTGTCACGTGATATATTAAGGCCGCAAAGCATCATAATTAGAATATATATTTTTCAAAGAGCATATATTTTTTGAGTATAGAAAACTTTTAAAGTTTAGCATATATTTTTGCAGTTCAGCAATGTTTTGTCGAGTTTACCATGAACTTATCTAATTTGGCCAATATTTATTAAAATAATCGCATGCCTATTTCAAGTTGGGAACATATATCTTCATAAATTCAAAACGGATGTACTAAATTCTTTTCTTCTTAAGAATTTTACGACTATGGATTTGGTATCATTGGTGAATGAGTATGATTGTCTTCATACTATCTTAGATAACCATGCACCGATTAAATCCCGGGAAATTACATTGCGCCCTAAGGCACCCTGGTATACTAACGAAATCAATGATAAGAAACGAATTCGGAGACAACTTGAGAGAAAATGGCATAAAACAAGGACGAATGCTGATTGGAATCGCTATAAACAACAATGTTATGCTGTAAATAAACTTATCGACTCCTCAAAATCGGCTTACTATACCGACTTAATTAATAATGGATCATCTGATCAAAAACCCTTTTCAAGACTGTAAGCAATTTGCTGCATACAAATACGATTATTCGCTATCCATCTTCTCCTGACCCAATGTCACTTGCCAACTCATTTAGTGATTTCTTCACTCAGAAAATTGTTAAAATACGAGGTGATATCGATGATGAACTCTTGAGTAAAAACATAGAAAATCCTATGCCTGATGCTGATTCATGTCCTTATGAATTTCACACCTTCAGGGAGGTTGGAAAAGACGAAGTGCTCCATTTAATCCAACGTATCGCAACTAAATCCTGTTCTCTGGATCCACTCCCGGTGGTCATGCTAAATCACTGTTTTAAAGACATCTTACCCGTTGTAGTTAGAATAATCAACCTCTCCTTGGAAAGTGGTACAATGCCTGACTCTTTGAAGATTGCTGTTGTTCAACCGCTATTAAAAAAGTACAATCTTTCCTATGAAGAATTCTGCAGTTTTCGTCCAATATCAAATCTGAAATTTGTCTCGAAATCTATTGAGAAAGTAGTTGCTGTACAATTAACTGATTATCTTACTGAAAATCATCTACATGAGAAATTCCAGTCTGCTTATAAACCTTGTCATAGTACTGAAACAGCGCTATTGAGGGTTCAAAATGATATCCTTCAAGCTCTAGATAACGGTGATTCTGTTATTCTTGTCCTACTGGATCTGTCGGCGGCTTTTGACACCGTGGATCATTCAATGTTATTAACAAGACTATCGAAACGCTTTGGCATAAGGGGTCGTGTGTTGGATTGGCTTACCTCATACCTTACATCCAGGAAACTGTTCATTCGTGTTGAGGGAACTGATTCGTTATTGAGTGATCTTGATTGTGGTGTACCTCAGGGATCTGTGTTGGGTCCTCTGTTGTATTCACTCTATACTGCCCCTCTCGCGGATGTGGCTAGGCGCCACAATCTGCGCTTTCACTTTTTTTCTGATGATGGGCAACTTTACATTGCATTCAAAACGAATGATCGTGATGATTTAATATCATCTAAGATCCGTATGGAGAAATGTATACTTGAATTGGGAAACTGGTTGATGTTGAATAAATTGAAACTAAATAGTGGCAAAACGGAGCTTATATTAGTCCATTCACGCTATCATCTGATGCCTCCCTTAAATTATATCATGGTGGGAAAGGAAAAAATTGTGCCAACTGTTTCAGCAAGAAATCTGGGGGTGATTTTTGATGAGTGGATCAGATTGGGCGAACATATTAATGGTATCTGCAAGTCAGCTTACTACCATATTAGGAATATTTCAAGAATTAAGAAGTATCTACCTCGAAATTGCTTAGAAATAATTATTCATGCATTTATAACTTCAAGACTGGATTATTGTAACTCCCTGTTGTATGGTGTACCCAAATATTTGCTTCAGAAGCTTCAGAGAGTCCAAAATACTGCAGCTCGTTTACTAACTGATACTAAGAAATCGGCGCATATCACCCCAGTTCTTATCGAATTGCATTGGTTACCTGTCCAATACCGTATTCAATTCAAGATTATACTTCTTGTCTACAAAGCTGTTAACGATCTTGCTCCATCGTATCTGAAGGAACTTATGCTGTGTCGTACTTCGCAGCGTACTCTTCGATCAAATGGAAATGAATTGCTCCAGATTCCTTATTCTAGACTAAAGACATACGGAGACAGATCGTTCTGTGTTGCTGGACCAAGATTGTGGAATGATTTACCTGTTCATCTTCGGATGTGTGAATCATTAACCACTTTTAAGAAGTTTCTTAAAACATATCTTTTTAACTTGTTTTTAAATAGTGTATGATGTATTCTATAGTTTTAACATTCTTAACACTAGTTTTTAAGATTGGATTTTGTATTACTGTAAAGCGCCTAGAACAGTCTTGGTTTGTGCGCTATATAAATGTTTTTTATTATTATTATTATTATTATTAAGTTTAGTACGTATTTTTTAAGTTTGGCAGATATATATTAAGTTCAGAACAAATTTATTATGTTCACCACATATATTTTCAGAGTTCAGTCCATATATTTTTGTATTAGAGCAAACATCTGCAGTTTGGCAGATATTTATTTTTGAAAGGCAATATTGTCCGCTACGGCGCCCCATAACTTTCATTGTATTTTTAGGTATTACACGTATGTGTCAATCATCATCGTTAATTATTGCAAAATGCAAAGTGGGCGGAAGGCGCTTTTGATAACATTTTCATCAGACCTACGTTTCGCCCTTTCCGTCGATGAATTTTAGGGCGGGTGAAACGTAGGTCTGTTATCAGGCTATGGCGTCCTGCACAGGGAAACACATGTAAAGTTTGGTGTCGTCAACATAGCAATCGGTGGAACAGCCTTGGGGTATTTTAGGCAAATATGGCCTTTATAGGTCATATTGAGCGCTCTACAGGACGAGCCATGCCGCTTACGCATTGCGCACGCTCACTGCTTGCAGTTTGAGCGCTCTGGCATGGTTTTGATGTCCCACAATCGTGAGGCATCAAAGGTAACTGTAAATAGCAGTTACTTTCATCCTGCTCATCAGCACTACACTGATGAGGCCCATAAGGCCGAAACGGTACCGTCTGTAGTTAGATATCGCTCTATGGCCTTTATAGGTCATATTGAGCGCTCTACAGCATGAGCCATGCCGCTTACGCATTGCGCACGCTCACTGCTTGCAGTTTGAGCGCTCTGGCATGGTTTTGATGTCCCACAATCGTGAGCCATCAAAGTTAACTGTAATTATTTCATAATTGAGTCGGTTTTCTTTGAAGTTCCGCGGGCTGTATTTAAAATAAATATCGGTCATTAGGCCAACCGTCTAAAAGCACGGGGAGGGTTTTGATATTCAGCAGGGAAGAGCGGGGCTGATGAATTGAATTGAATATAGATAATTATGAATGAGTGGGCTGTATTCAGATACAGCCCGGAAATATTGGGCTCTATCTGAATACAGCCCGCTGTTCTAGTATTGTACCTGGATACAGGCCATGAATTGATAATCCATTGAACTTACACTACAACCACTTCTATTAACATTTTTAATACTATTTCACACAAACGTATTGAAAATATATTTCAAACTTCAAGTTGTTAAATACAACACTCGTTTCCACTACAATATTTTCTATTTACTTCTTCTGTCTACATTTTAAACTCCTTGTTAATAAAAAAGTGTAATTATTGAAAATCACACACTTTTCAACATTCTCACTCTTTACTGCGCTATCACTTTCCCTCTTGTTAACTTCGCATCCTAATTCCTGTTCAGCTTTTGCACGGACTTCCCGACACTCGCTATTAGTTGTACTGGTTAATTGTCGCCAAAGACGTGTGCATCATACCAACTTGATCAAACGCTTTTGACATTTCTACTTTGTACTCTACGCTAGGACCTATACTGTATAGGTCTCTGATACTGCTGTAACGACCTTAGGTCTCTATGACCTTTTTTTTCATAATTAACTTATCTGGAATTCCCTTTACGAGGCCACGAGTTGTCATGGTTGCTCTATGACTGTGATTTGTAAAGTTGCCTTCTATTCCAGCATCCCGACAAAGCTTCTTAACTACCCCTCCATGCAAGTGTGTTGTAGCCCACTGGTCTTGAAGTGAACCAAACTAAAACACAGAAAATTCAGCTGAAACTAAAAATGGAAATTAACTACAAGAAATGATAAAACTAACTAAATAAATTGTTTGTACCTTTATCTGAATCAGAATTAATACTTTCGGCGAGGACTCAAAATAAATATGTCTTTCGTTGTGGCTTCTGAGCTGCATTTCCCAACATATTTCTTGTACAATCGAACCAAACATCGACTGGGACACTCTTCATTTATATAATGTTACACGCTTGATCGACTTGCTGCTACCAGTCAAAATCAAGATTTTCAGTCTCTAAAATACTTGGAATTATACTTAATTCGTCACCCAAAATAACAGGATTCGCGAAAAATGTATTTTGCGTTAATCCTGACAGTGAAAAGTCTTCCTTGTCACTATACATTTTGCGAAGTGCGAATGCAAACAATCAGTCGCCAAAGTGAGGCCAGAAAATTAAAAAAAAAACATGTAGAAGAACAAAATAAGAATAAATTAACTAGCGTATTAACTCTTCATCTCTTTTTGTATACCTATCTGTTCGCTAATTTAGCTCAACAATAAGTCTGCATACCTCCCATGCAGTATTTTCGTTCACAAATTACACTGAACAACAACAATTCCTAAGAAATTATATCTTAAATTATTCTTTTGAGAAAACCTCCTCAATTATGAAATAAGTCAGTTAAAGCCCTCGAACCTCGGCTGTTAGCCAGATACAGCCTATATATATATATATATATATATATATATATATATATATATATATATATATATATATATATATATATATATATATATATATATATATATATATTATTAAGAGTATTGGTCCTAAAATGCTTCCTTGCGGAACTCCATTTACCACTGATAACGAGTCGGAGAGAGCGGAATGAATACGCACAACCTGACTACGGTTAGAAAGAAAAACATGCTACCAGGAACACCAAAGGTTGTTAAATGTTCAGTTGGGCAAAGGCTTGAAACTGATTGTAGTCTTTGCTCGGGGTACCCTTCCATGAAGGAGTGTATGCCAATATTAGCATGTAAAAGAGATATACAAGTGCATCTCCGGCGTTTAAACTTATCTAGACAAGCAGTAGCATCAGAAGGGGATCTTATTCTATTAAGATCGGGCATATTTGGTAGCAACAGGGAGGGGTTAACAGTATGTCCACGACACAGAGAGAATCTTGGTCTTTCCTGGCGCCCAAAACGTGGGTGCGCATACCCTCTTCACGGGGTATGCGCACCCACGTTTTGTATCTTCACGGGGTATTATTATCTAGGGCTACTTGAGCTGCAGCGTTTGCAGTTTTTTCTGCAACAGCGATAAAAAATTGGTTGAATTCATTTGCAATCTGTTCCGAATCTTTACTATAACATTGAATTTTTCTTTCTTTGCTGGGAATGCAACGATTATTATGCTGTCGTGATGCAGTCATCATCAAGCGAAATTTAAATTTGACCAATCAGTATGCGTCATTTCCATGACAGTTCGCCATATTTTTTAGATCAGTTGGGAGGTCCACCTTTGGATCATAGCCATGCGCCCACAATATTTGATGAACTTTAGACTTCGCTAGTTCGTTTCTTTCCCCGGGTGTAAATAACCGGGCGGAATTATTACCCTCGTCCCGGGCTTACGCCCGGCCGGAACGGCGATCCGCGCTGTTGGCTCCGCGCCGTTGGCAAATTATAGAGGAGTTTTACGATGATAGTGAAAGCGAAACTGAGTGTAAGTTCCCAGAAGATCTAAATGACAATAAGAACATAAAATTATGTGCCAAGCACTTTTATAGCGTGCCTTTATACGACCGCCAACTACATTTGACCGAAATGGCTGAAATTGACTCATTTATCGAGCAGCAACGCCCAACAGGTGGGCAATTTGTCGACGCTGACCAAAAATAGCGGCTCATTTCTTCTTGAGATGCCATTTTCGCGTCGAAGAGCAAAAATATAGACTTTCGGATAATATTTAGCTGTTCACTATCAAATATGTTTGTGAAACAGTTGATAATCTTACTGAGGGAGGACAATCATTTATTTCTAATACTAGGAGTTACTATCGCAAGGAAAGTGCTGCCGTTTGGCGACATGAACTGAATGCAAAAGAGTAACTTCTAGACAATTCTCTAAAGGGAAATTTACTTTTGACCCAATGCCCTCATTTCCAGGTTTTATCATTGGTAGCATAGCAGGCCTGCACATGAACGTTATATCCCCTATATTTATTATGATTTAAAGAACGATCACAAACTTATTATTAAATTGTGTGCACGGAACACGAGTAAATAACCAGCATGGAAATGAGGCCATTGTAGCCCCAACAGACATCCTATGTGTTTATTGTGCAATTATAAGATCAGTATTGGAATGTGCTTCTGTCGTTTTCGCCAACCTTCCTCAAAACTTAGCGACGATCTTGAAAGGGTCCAGAAACGAGCACTGGCATAATACATCCTAACTGTTCCTATGATGATGCCCTAAAACTAGCTGGTATCGAACCGCTTGTCTTACGGAGGGACGCCGCCTGTAAGAGATTTGTGGAGACAATCCTACCTGGAAACCCACTCTATCCAATTGTTCATAGCCGGTCAGCACCAGTGAATCATGGTTATAAACTTAGATCTGACAATGTTGCGAGGAATATCAGGATGCGAACAGACCGGTTTCAGAAATTCGTTACCATTAAGCATGCGACCTGAACTGTGATCGTTGAACCTAATAACTCTATTGTCTTGTTATACATTCATTTTTAACTATAATAAATTATGTACACCTCTCAGATAATTTTGTATAAGTTTTATATACTGTAAATAATGTTTGTAAATAAGATTTTTGTAATGACCTGTAATTCAGTTTCTACTGCAAGGGGTTTTTTAATAAACTATTACTACTATTACTACTATTGGTTGATTGGGTCAAAAGTGGATAAACGGCATACCATTAGCTGGTAATGCACCCTACTTTAGTATTAACTCGTGTAACACCAGACAAATTTACACTCTGTAACGCCAGACGATTTTACTTGTCAGTGTTAGAGTATTGTCAGTATTAAAACGGGGTAACAAACCTATCTGCCAATGTCTCTTATTAGTCCACATTGGCTGGCAATGCGACCTACTTTAGTATTTTACTGTGATACTGTATATTAACGCCGGACAACTTTACTCGTGAGTGCCAGTAAACGGGTCAATTTCTCGTCACGCCCAATTTAAAATTTTTACGATTTTTATTGTTTTCAGCGAACATCCCCCCTTAAAACGAAAAGCACCATTGTAATCCTGACAAAATACCATTTTCAACGGGGGGTCAAATGCCTTCAAAACACTGACACAAACCGAAACAATGTATCATATATTTACGAAAAAAAACTTGAATATTTTCCAAACTCTGCACAATTTGCTCAATGAGAGTAAAATCAGCCTTGTATTCAAGCGCTTTCATGTAGAAAGTTTCGTTTGAATAAGGCGAGTAGAAACAGTTTATTTTGAATTTTTCGGGTCTTTATTTGCACGCGCGTGCCACATGTAAGCTTGGCCATATAAAGAGAATCAAATTATTTCAATCTTCCAGTTCTCTCGTGCCCGCGAATACCGCCTGCGTAAATGCACGGGCAAACCACTGCCACTGGGAGTACTTTGACCTGTGGAATGTTTTGTTTTGATCGCTTGATGCCGCGCTAAAAATATAAATATTGATTTTATTCTGTAAATACCGAAATAAAATTTGAAAATAACACTCTATAAATAGTAGTAGTAATATAGGTACCGTTCGACCCTTATTTTTGTGGTGGAGTGCGGTGGAGTGTGGTGGAGTGTGGTGGAGTGTGGTGGAGTGTGGTGGAGTGTGGTGGAGTGTGGTGGAGTGTGGTGGAGTGAGGAGGAGTGTGGTGGAGTGAGGAGGAGTGAGGAGGAGTGAGGAGGATTGAGGAGGAGTAATGACGTCACTCATTAGCATACGTCATAATTATATGCAATGACGTCACGCGGGCGAGCTTAAACACGATCGGGCGAAACTTGCTGACTACGCATTTTTTAGCGTCCTTTCACGTGTATGATACAATGGAGGGATTAATGTTGGCTTACTATGATTGGTTGTTTGATTTAACGAGTGTCTGTATAAAAATCGACAAGCGTCTTGTAACAAGCATCGTCTATATTTTGACAACGTTCTTACTGGAGGTCTTTTGGCAAGCTGCTGAAATTTATCTTGTTGGTAGAATTAACGTTTATTGGTTGTTGGAAGATAAAGTTTTTTGAGGGGAAACAAATTTTCGCGCTCTTTTTCAGTCGAGATCGAGCAAGCAAAGTGGGAAGAGGTTGTTTCTTCGTGGATGAGTGGTAAATCGTTTGAATTTAGTACAGAGTGTGAGAATGGGGTTGGTTTACTTATTGAAAAGGCGAAATGGCAAATTACAGATTTGGAAAACATTTTGATTGAAAAGGGTTTGGTACCGAAATTTATTCGTGGGGACGATGCCCTGTATGATATATTGTTGCGTCAAATGCAATCACAATTGATTCTGAGTGTTGGTGTTCCTAAACGAGTGCAGGGCCCTACCTTTACATATTTGTCGAACTGTAAGCAGATGCTTGTGGGTGAGATATTTGCAGACATGACAAAAAGGAAGGAAAAATTCGAGAAGAAAACAGGTGTTAGCTTGGACAACTATTACAGATTGGCTGCGAGCGAAGTCGAGAATGGGAAGAAAAGAAAAAAAATGTCTGAGTCGAATGGAAGCAACAAGGCCCTTGGGTGACCAACACTGGCATCGTGCTCTTCAGTAATCCACTACAATACCAGTACATGATTGAAGAAACAGGAGAGACATTTAATAGTTCTAAATCTAACACTAAGGAGGCCTATGATGAATTTCGTAGATTTCGTTTAACAAGTGAACTTGATAAAATAGACCTCTTGTAATAATAATACGTTGCTAGCTAGTAATGTAAATTTGCATATATTTACTGAAATAAATACTGTGTGTCTCATTCGCTGTTCAATTGTTGTTGTGAGGGTATCATGGATAACATAGATATAATTTTTGATGAGTTGAAACGGAATGAAATTGATATTGATAAGCAAAGCGCGCGAGTTACATGTATTCTGTGAAGGTGACGGGTGAACGATTTAGAAGTTTTGAGGCAGATCATAAGAAAGCTTATCAAGAACTCATGGAGAAAAAAACTTATAGAACAGTTTAACAAATAGTTTTAGTTGTAATATTTTTGACACTATCGTCTGTTATTTGTATCAATAAGCATGTTTTAAACTTTACAAATGTTGCGTTGTTATGGGTTGCTAGTCATTAGGAGGCGTGTAGGTAATTAAGGGGATTAAGGCAGTACGAATTTACATAACTGAGTGTATCCCAATGGATAGGGATTATTTTTAACGCAGGTGTATGCCTTAAAATCAGGCGCGTGGCTTTGCGGGTGCATGTATATACTAAGATATTGATGTCCTAAGATATTGATATCCTAAGATATTGATATCCTAAGATACTGATATCCTAAGATATTGATATCCTAAGATATTGATATCCTAAGATGTTGATATCCTAAGATATTGATATCCTAAGATACTGATATCCTAAGATATTGATATCCTAAGATATTGATATCCTAAGATGTTGATATCCTAAGATGTTGTATGATATCCTAAGATACTGTATGATATCCTAAGATACTGATATCCTAATGTATTGATATCCTAAGATATTGTATGATATCCTAAGATATTGATATCCTAAGATACTGATATCCTAAGATACCGATATCCTAAGATACTGATATCCTAAGATACTGATATCCTAAGATACTGAATGATATCCTAAGATGCTGTATGATATCCTAAGATACTGTATGATACCCTAAGATGCTGTATGATATCCTAATACTGTATGATAAGATACTGATATCCTAAGATACTGTATGATATCCTAAGATGCTGTATGATATCCTAAGATATTGTATGACATTCTAAGATACTGATATCCTAAGATACTGATATCCTAAGATACTGATATCCTAAGATATTGATATCCTAAGATACTGATATCCTAAGATACTGATATCCTAAGATATTGATATCCTAAGATATTGATATCCGTGAACTTGTAAAAGATGTGTACTGATATTCTTCAAATCAGGACGACCGCAAAGCAGACAGGTCCGGCGAAATCGTCTCTGCATGACTGCTCCGTCAAATGATTCAAGTGTGCATAGAAACACGGTTCTATGTATTGTTGCTTTCAGGAAGAGCTTCTCTGAAGCTTCTGTGAAGCTTCTGTAAAGCTTCTGTAAAGCTTCTGTGAAGCTTCTGTAAAGCTTCTGTGAAGCAGAACATAAGCTTTCTTATGATCATCTTAACAGTATATATGTATGTAGGAGGATTGCTAAATAATCTTGAACATGTAAATATTGACCATAACAACGACGTTGACAACTCGGGATTAGGAACTGTTTAGTTTAAAATATGTCTTGATTTTTGTAAGGAAAAGATTCCTCGCTATGGAACATACGAAAAATCCGTCAATATACATGTGGAAATTTATCTCTTCCGAGCAAAGATACGGCTATATATTAATTTCGATAACAATTTTGCCATGTGAGGGACACAAACTATTCAACACACAGAGTCTTTCGACCCCTTGTGCGACTGCACTCGCAAAAATTCCTTCCAATAAATTGTAAGATGTGGTTTTACCGTGTAGACACGCCATGACTGATGTGGAACAAATACAGAACTATGCCTGCTACAAAACACTTGTAGATTTTATACAGACACTTGTATAAAAGTTCATAGTAAGCCAACATTAATCCCTCCATTGTATCATACACGTGAAAGGACGCTAAAAAATGCGTAGTCAGCAAGTTTCGCCCGATCGTGTTTAAGCTCGCCCGCGTGACGTCATTGCATATAATTATGACGTATGCTAATGAGTGACGTCATTACTCCTCCTCAATCCTCCTCACTCCTCCTCACTCAACCACACTCCTCCTCACTCCACCACACTCCACCACAAAAATAAGGGTCGAACGGTACCTATATTACTACTAATAGTGTTTAGGATTCTGGTTCGAATATTACGAAAATGATATGTGCAAAGGGGCCGAATCATAGTTCGGTAAAATATATAGTGAAAATGATACCGCTTGACCTCTCAAAGACAAAGGTCATATTAAATAGTTTGGTGATATATTTGTGGGCATTTGACTAAAACTGTATCGTTAGGAATTAGGAGATTTTGTTTCACTGAATCGAGTGGTAGTATTGTTATCTTCATAGCACGCACCGACCCGAAGATATGAAACTTGCAAAGTCATGGAGTTGAGAGCTCGGAGAGATATTGAACACAAATTATAGTGTATTTATATAAATGACAATACTCGACTTTGAAGAAACAATTTAAAATTAAATTCTCAAACTCTTTCATATACATAGTAGCCAGAGACTTGTAGTAGGTAACCATAAAGTGGATAGCCATAGTCATAGACATGTAGTCTTCATAGGCATAGCACTGCAGAGATATGAACCCTGTTTCCCTCGATATTCGCAACGTCTTTTAATAATATTAAAACCGCGGGTTCATTTTATAATACATCAATATAAAATTTTGAAACACTGAATATATAAACTAAACTTACAGATATAATCACTTTTAATGCATTTGTTCGAACAATGACTGACACAATCAAAGGCAAACTGGGCAGGTTGCTTGACTCAGCCGGCATATAAAATGTTTAATAGGAACTATAAAAGTCTAAACCGTAGATGTAGTCTCAAAACCGTACGTTGATGAAAACTTCCACGAATATTTACCAGTAAAGTTGTGGCATAACATATAAACTGCACTTGTAATACCTTCAAAATTATGATCACTTCCTGACACATCGAATATATCTTTCAAGACTGTGAAGACACGTCATTAGCATTCGCGTTTCCCTGATGTGTCACCCCCCGGTTTGCCGACGGACATCCAAATTTTGAACAAATCTCGATTCACGTCGACAATACATAACTCGGCCAAAGAGACTGGGCACAAGTGAATGTCAAGAATAGTGTGCTGCCGAGCTAACGCTCGGCAGCAAAAAACTATGGTTTTTGATATGCATATAATAGCATATTTAATTTTTGAAATTACATTTCATTCTTTGTTAAAATGGGTACCAGGAATACTGAAATCTTTCAGATCAGCTAACAATACCTTTGTAACTTAGGGACCGGTCATTATTTATGGCGGGGTGTGGCACCGAAGAGAAAAGGGTTGGGTAAACAAAATTTTGAGTAAGTAAAAGGTCAAGTAAATGAAAAACAAAACAACTCAAGGGTTGGGTAATAAAAAATTTATTGTCATTTCCAAAGCATGACTCACTGAACAGGTAGGCAATTTGTCGACGCTGACCAAAAATAGCGGCTCATTTCTTCTTGAGTTTCCATTTTCGCGTCGAAGAGCAAAAATATAGACTTTCAGAGAATATTTTAGCTGTTTACTATCAAATATGTTTGTGAAACAGTTGATAATCTCACTGAGGAAAGCCAACGGTTTCTGAAAAGCTAAAGTACGTCGAAATCAGCTTTGGAATAGACTATATTTTCACCGGGGAAACATGAACAAAATGGATATTTACATCAACACTAAATTTTGCTCATGCCTACAGAGCTAGTTGGATTAAAACAGATGTTAATTTAAGAAGTAAGTGAAATTGTGAAATTTGTGAATTATACTTTCATTAAAATGTTTCGGAAGGTCTGCTAATGTCAAACTACACGTGTGACAGAGCTGTCAGTATACCCATATTTCAATGTTTATGTTGAAATGACCTATCTTCTTTGAGGTATAGCTTAAAATTTAGGGTATGCTCATCACTTGAAACTAGCTGCAAATCAAAGTTTCATCTATAGTCTTTATATTAGAATTAAAATCATTCAAGGGAAAAATGTGCCAAAGGGTTGAAATTCCCCTTGTAAATGTACACTATTTTTGACATGCTTGGGTTAGTATTTTGAAAAGGTGTTCTGGAAGGAAAATATGTCTTGAACAATACTGGTTGAGCCTTAAATTATAACTATTGTTATGTAAATCACAGAAAATTGAAAAAATCTGGTCCATACACAATATTTTGGACCCTATGAGGTCCCGAATGGGGCTTAATTCAATGTTGGATCTGTTTACCTGGAAAAACCTAGAAAATTGAATAAGTCAAGAATTTGACTATGCTCATCACCCAAAACCAGGTTTTTCTAATTGCTTTTTCACCTGGGTTTGTGGCAATGCCAGTTATGCGACCACGAAAAATGCGCGCGGCACTTTTTTTGGACACTGAAGATGGTAACATTTGATGTTGTCATATATTGCCATCCTCTTATCGTAGCATAACTTAACTTATTTTATTGAATTTGTTGAAGAGTTGTGTTCACTATATGCTTGTAGTATCTAAGATTTTTTCATAGCATTATATGATAAATTTAAGTTCTGTTTTCTTTTATTTTTAGGTGATAGTATCTATTCACTCCAATGTTGGTATCAAATTTTGGTCAAGTTTCAATTATTATTTCACATTCCTTTATTCAAATATCCAAATAAATGGAATATGACATCAAGCTGGAGGACTAGATCCTGTTTTCAAACTTGTTTTTGTAAAAATAGAAAATAACAACTTATTCTGTGTTGTTCTAATAAAAACCATTGTTTTTGATATGCATATATTTTAATTTTATTCTTTGTTAAA